GGGGCCTCAGTGGGGCAGAGCAGAGGGGGAGGAGACCCTCCCTCGCCCTGCTGCCCACACTCCTCTGAATGCACCCCAGGAGACCACTGGCCTTCTGGGCAGCCAGGGCACGCTGCTGGCTCATGGTCAACCTGTTGTCCACCAGGACACCCAGGTCCCTCCATATACTTGTGGTTTCGAGGCCTCCAAGAGTGGGTGTGGGACTTTTCTTCCAGGGGCACAGGAGTGAAATTTGCCCATCGAATGTATCTGAAGCGTGACTGAAGTAGGAATGGTTTCGCTGGGGCGCTGGAGGGTGGCTGCGGGCGGGTGTGCAGGGACTGCAGTGGTCTGTCTGTGGCCGGAGAGCGGAGGATCCAGCTCCTGAGCCACCTGCGCTCCTGGAGCAGTTTTACATCAGGGCTGGGGTTCGTTGGAACAGCGCGGGAAGCTGTCGCCGCGGGAGGCTGTGTGGCCTTGCGATGTGGCAGGGGGCTGGGAGCTCTGGCTTTGCCAGCCGGGAGAACATCCTCTGCTGGCTTTTCCTGCGGCACTTTGATGCTTTGTGGCTACAAAAAATGCAAATCTGAATAAATACGCTCTTGACATATTCTCACGTGGACTTTTTTAGCCCCAAACTCTCAGCTGTTACGAAGCATCGCCGGTGGGATTTATCGGTGAGATAGACCCAGGCCTGCTCTCTGGGCAAGAGTTTGCCAGCTTTCCCTTTTTCTGAAGTTAAAACATTGACCATGGTCTCCGCGGCTGCCGCAGCTAATCGGTGTGTCCTGTCTGCAGGAGTTCTGCCTCTTCGCCGTCGTCGGCCTGGTGTCCGACTTCTTTCTGCAGATGTTCTTCTTCACCACCGTGCTGTCCATCGACATTCGCCGTATGGAGGTAAGGAAGGGGTCGAGAACGCAGGGGTTTGCCTTGGGATTTCCTTCTCTGCTGTCGTGGAAGGATTCAATAAAACACACCCTGCGATTTTCACCCTCTAAACAGAAAAGACCGAGCTGTAAAAGTTCCAGGGCATTATTTGCTTGGTTACCCGTACGCAGGGATCGGGGACAGGATGCTTGAGGGAACAAGACACCCTCGGGTGTATAAACATGCAGACTGGGGGTAAACGGGCGGGAAGGAGACGTGGTCTCAGACTGCCTGGGCGAAGAAGAGAGCGTGTGCTGGAGAGAAGCTGGGGCCCAGTGACAGGACAAGGGGCAATGGGCACAAACTGAGGCACAGGAAGTTCCGTCTGAACATGAGGAAGAACTTCTTCCCTCTGAGGGTGACAGAGCCCTGGCCCAGGCTGCCCAGGGAGGTTGTGGAGTCTCCTTCTCTGGAGATATTCAAGACCCGCCTGGACAAGGTCCTGTGCAGCCTGCTGTAGGTGACCCTGCTTCGGCAGG